ACTTACTAACCATCTTACCCTTCCGAGAGATACATCACCTTATTCCCACTGGGCTATGCTAATTATCCAATGTTTGTGCGTGTGTGTGTAGCTCACACGTGCACAGTATGAAATTGTCCCTTTTGAAGGGTAAACCATTCCGGTTGAATTCCCTCTGCTCTATGCAACATAAGGCAGCCGGGAGTGTGAAAGAAAGACATTTACTTCAGGATCCACTATAACAGGTGTGGCTGACCTATTGGTTCAGCGAAACAGAAACAGTGTTGGCAGGGTCTGTGTTTCTGTCTTGTGAGACAAGCTTTTTAGGTGTGTGGGCTTGGCAACCTTGCCTCTAGATGGAAAGGTCTGGTTGAATGAAATTATGATTATTTTAGTTTAACTTCTGAAGCCGTCTAATTTTTATTGCATTAGCTGCACAATTCATCTGGATGCTTTAAACCTTGGGGAGCGAGCGGGTAGCATGTGAGAACGTTTGAACATTAACCTTTTTCGTTACCAACCAATATTACTTATCAGTTTTTTTCCACGTCATGGATTTTTTGCCTCTCATTAAGCCTTCATTAAACATTTGAATGCCTGATGACCAGTTGCTGACTGTGGGTACGTGTTTCTTATTCAAAAACTAGTAGATTTTGTAAAGTGAAAGACGTAATGTTTCTGAAAAATGAATAAATAAAATAAATTCACTCACTTCTATTTTGAAATACACTAGCACAAGCCTTGATTTAGACTCAAAAATATAAGCCCATCTGATGTTCTATGTTTCATTCATCGTAAATAACACTGATTTATTTAAGCTATTTCAATAACTAAGCTCACAAATTTCTTCAAAAATCTAAAAAATAGTTGACTTTCATTTTTTTTGACTGTCCAACCCTACATTCACTACTAATAGCCTCACAGTTGGGTAGACTGGGAATCGAGGAGACTGCGGGCAGTGCTTCCCTACCACCAGGGATAGAAGTCACTTTAAGTAGATTTTTTAACATTTTTCTCCTTATTTTTTTTCATTGTGTACTAGGGTAGCTCCCCGAGACCTTTTTAAAGAGGAAAGAAGACACAATACTAAGGCAGAATGCGTGAGGTCGACACACAGAAGGTCTAGGGGAGCCACTGGCATGGCCCGAAGGCCGTTCACAATCTCGGAGCCATTACATGGCCCGTTGTCAAAACGGAGAGTTAAACAAACAACCAAACTATTTCACTAGCGATTGCATTTACTGGTACGAGCTAAAAATGGCGTGACAATGCTTTTTTACTTGACCAACGAGGCAAATGAACTAGATTTCGACTTATAATTCGTTGGGTTTAGAATCAACCTTAGTTTACACTGACAAAAGGAGCGATTCGCTTTAACGAGATGAGATTCTTTTGGACATTGATGTTTCCTTAACTTGACGCATGAAAAATTGCGTGTAGGCAAAATTCGGTTATCAAAAAATGTGTTGATTAATTGTGAGGTTGACTTCTTTTTGCAAATAAATTGAACCATGAAGCAGACGCAAAAGTCCAACATTTCCTTTATTTTAATGAGAACACCGTCTGGATGTTGAAAAATCACTAAGGTGGAATTTCTGCGTGCTCCCGCTTCGCCGAAATTTACGCACACACTAACGTCACACTGGCTAGCCAATAGAAAATCCCAACCTCCCCGCTGCAAAGGCCTTTTCCACCACTATCCTATTTTCGACCTTGGAACGGCCTTGTATCCTTCGCGCGGCTGGGAGGCTCTAAATAGTTTGGAAACAACAGGAAATTGGTAGAAGAGTCACAGGGACGGCTTTCTTTTTTCACGTGAGAAACTTCTTTCAGTCATGCGATTGTCATTTATCGCAACAAACGTAGCACTTGCAAGAAACATGTGGGCATGGGAAAAATACTCTCAAGGATAGGGAAAAAATCGGGTTAGGAAGAATGTTTTCACCTATGCATATAAGACCTATCTAGCCCACTTGAAGTAGTGATAGGGACACTGCCCCATGGCTTCTCTGAATGCATACACAAATTACGTATTCTGAAGACTCTCCAAAGGGTGCTTTACTTGAACAACAAAATGCTGATCTGCCAAATTAGGTTGCAGTTTGCTATGCATTCAAGACCACGACACATGATCCAATCAGCCACATCAACAAAGATGCGAATTTTATGGACTCGAATGCGACTTATGGGGACCACTAATTCGGACACAAAAAAATCTTGCTGTTGTTGATTAAAACAAATATTTTAGGATACGTTTGGAAGTATTAACCTGTTAGTGCGTTGATTGATGTAATTTGCATAACATATCAGCGAATGTGCGAGAGTGACTGACATGTTTAATAATTCCGATCTCGTGCTTAAGGGGGTCGTAAAAGTTTTCACTAGGGTGCAACATTTACCTGAAAATCCTCCTAGTTGATAGACAATTGCACATTAAGGGGAATTGTGTGCCTCAAAACTTTTGGACTTTAGAAGTGGGGTAGAATTTTACACCTCAGAGCGCCACTTGTTGTGAGATTAACTTTGTAATTTTGTTTGAACTAAGGTAAAGGGAAAACTGAGCGGAGGGTGACTTAGAGAAGTGACACTTGAACTTGCGTAGGGTAAATACCGACCAAACAATGTGAAAAATTGAGGAAAAAGATGAACGTAACTTTCGTACGATTCAACGTAATCGGTCGCGGTGAAGAAGTATTATATTTGATGTGTTTTCTAGTTCTTAATTTACTGAAATTCTGCTAATTCAACCCCTTAGACGAACACTTTACTGAGTGATTAAAGAGTAACAAGGTGCCGAATTTAGTCGTGGTCTTTTTGGCTTCCACTTTTTAAGGTCGCATAAAATAATACTCATGTTGCAGCGAAATGGTGAGCGGATGAACGAGAAGACCATGTTAGCATGTGAATCAGATTGACACTGGTAAAGCATACGTATTGTACACCGACCGTAGCGTACGTGACCACAGCCTACGCACAAACACTGGAGATGGATCCTGATAACCGAACCGAGGATTTCATGCTTTATTTTTTATTACAGATTCTCCTCGGATGTCTCGTCACTAGACCCAGGCTATCAAAAGCTTCTGTGAGTTTTGTGCCTTTGTTACTAATAGCATTTTTTCACTGTCCTAATCATGAGAAGGACTTCGCGCTGTACACCGCGTTGGCATTCTAGATGCATTGACATGTTTACCCATATTTACGTACTATTTTGCGGCTTTTTGCAAGCCTAGAATGCACTTAAGAGCTTTGCCTGTTTGCTTAAACATCTAAGGCTACCAACCTTAAACCCAGCCTTCCAAGCCCAAACCAAAATAGCCTCCAAAGCCGCTATCCCAAATGTTGGGTACGTGACTGTTCGTCCTATCGACCAATCAAATTAGTCAGCCACCCTTTCACCTGATTGGCTATGAAGTCTTAACAGCCAAACTCCGCATGTTCCTGTCCTCTGCGGACATGAATTTGTGCAGGCACGCGCACACATTTGGGTCAAACAAGCCCTTAGTTCTAAATTGTCATTTGGTTTAGATTTTAATTCACACCAGACAAGATTATGCCTGGAACCATGGCTGAGATAACGTCCGAATCCTAGGTCCAATACATGACAGTGGGTAGCATAAATTAGCGTTTGATCAGCTTTTTAATAAAGAATTTTGGGGCTATGGTAAATAGAATTTCCATTTTGTTAGAATGCGGTCTTTTGTAATAGACGTTTTTACCATGAATGCAAATTCATCTGCTACTGTGCACCCCATGTCAACTTGTAAAATAGTTAAGTTGTGCCAGTACTGCAGGTTCCTTTCTCCTTCACATTTGTATCGAGGCTCCTTTTATCCTAGTTAGTTGTGGTCATAAGCGAAGGGGGAATCAACGAACTTTGGGTGGTGGCCGAACCTAAATCCCCACCTCCGGTTCCTCAGAGGTATTCTTGAAACACTAATAGGAAATAGCATTTAATATTGGTGACATTTGAAAGGGATTCCTGCAAAAACTACTGTTTTATTCTCAGAATTGCCATTAAATCAACGTAATAGATGTCCGGTTTTATAAAGAAATTTACTGAACAGCTAGGTTATTTCAACTGCCAACAACACTATTCTGATTGCCGCAAGACTGCTATGATACAGTCAGCCTTTCAAAGGCTAAAAAATGTGAAAGCTCAATTGTCGACTGCTTAAATGTTTATCGTTCGGCTACCTTGGACGCCACTTGTGCCGCCCCAGACACACTCTCATATTCTGGTGATGGGTTGAGATTACTCCGACGTTATCAGTTTTTTATGGGCGTATTTACATGCCACACCTTATATCAGTATTCAAGAGCAAGGTCGAAACTACGCATTTTACCTATTCTAAGAAAGTTTCAGCGCTTTTTTTAACAACGGTAATATATTTTAGACCTCTACAGTCCAGACACGGTTTGGCAAATTGTCCTGCGCTCTGCGCGGTTCCGAACAGGCCGAGACTGTGTTAGCATCTACGGAAATTCAAATTGTCATTGAAAAAAGGTTGAAACTACCCGAGATTGCACTGATATCTCCGATGCTGGTGGATTTTCCATACACCGCTGTAAAGCAGTCTTCGATGATAGATGTGAAGATAGCCAACCTCGGTGTATCGGGAACCATATGGGTTGTAGAGCCTTCCAATGCAACAGCAAGTAAGGAGCAAGATCTGTCGGGGAACACAATGATTTCCAACCCTTATGAGTAGTATTTGCAGGTAGCTTCCAATCACCTATCAGCTTAAACTTCAAGAGTCAAAGATGAATTCAGTACCTCTTTGGGCAGCTCTGGAGTTTCTCCTGAACCGATTAAGATTTCTAGGCAATGGAATTTCGCAGTCCTTTTGGCAAGCAGATAATGTCATGTGTTTCTGACAGTTTTGCCTTTCAAATGGGAGAAGGAAGGACAAATATCTTTGATTTTGCTCTTCTGGTAACAAGATTATGGACTTGTTGACCAAAAGAGCCTCGGGAGGAGCGAATTATAAACCCAGAGATGGTAAAACAATCATGAGAATCCACTCGGTTGATAAAGAAACAGTGAAGATCAAGCTAAGACCAGGAAGTCTTAGAAAGATGTTAAATTCTAAACGTGACAAACATCCCAATCAAATAGGACCTAGGAAAGACATCCCACATTTCAGTAGTATGATCATGATCACCCGAAAAAATGCAATATCTTTTTAAGGAAAAGAGTTGAATTTTTCCAAATACACAGCATTTAGAGAATTCTAAGGGAATAGGAAGTGATAGAACTTTTCTCAACTTTCTTTAAAGTAGGGAAAACTCTGGAATCTTTTAAGTGAGAGTACAAATGTGAAGTTTGTTAGCTCCAGGGATTCAAATACATCTATCGTCAAAACTTCCTTTCTTCCACTTACTGAACTACAGTTACAAAAACGGCGTTTGTGATTCCATAATGGGTCAAAAAGTTACATGAACCCATAGCTAACTGGAGGGGAGGGAACTTTTGCAGAAAATCGTCGAGACCCTTTGCCCATGTTATTCACCATTTGGCTATGGCCTCACTTTAACTCAAATAGATGCTAAGGGTGAGAGCTGAGGTTATGCCTAGGAGACACGCTTTCTGTGCAACAACTTAATTTGCGAACGGTGCCACTATTTCTTGAGAATGGCTGTTACAGATTTCAATTGCATTTGGCACGTTCGGTTTCACAACATTCCACTGTGAAAAGCGATTTACCTGTGTGGAAAATGGCACACCCATCACATGACAGGAGGCTCGTTGCACGACTCGGCGCACGATAATTTATCAAACCGCTGTTTAAATTGTACTTTAGGCAAGAAACCCAAACCAGAAGGTCTAAGGGTATTCTCCACCACCCCAACGTCTGGATTTCTCGCCGCTACTGCTGACCCCTTTAGACAGGACTGTGCAAGATTAAGTGTCAAATTTACGCCTCGGTAAGGGATCCTGACCCAACTAACAACTTTTAAACGAGCTTTATTTACAAATCCTTAGGCAAATGTACACATTTATGAGGCTTAACCCGTAACGACTTCCCATAGCAGTAAGCAGTGCTGGGAAATAAAAACCAATTCATTTAGTTGAGACTTCAATTTGGACAGTGAGGGCATTTAATTGCACCCAACTTTGGATCAAGCGTTGATATGATAAGAGAGGAGGCAGACTCAGTCCCCTCTAATGGCATCAACCAAAGTCGGCGCCAGTAAGATGTCAACTGCTTACTAAACAACTTTCCATTCAAATTGTGTCCAGTAAATCCGACGTGCAATTTGCCACGTAGCGCCTCTGTACAGTTCCCGGTCAGACTGTCATTGAGGTCGCATTTTCATCTAATTTTGACTCCACCTTTTAGAATGGCAGGCGAGTACACAAAGGAGCTGGTTATCTTGGACGCCTTAACCAACCGAACAGTCTCCGTCCACCTGCGTGGAAGGGGTTATTTACAACGTCTGCCAAATTGATGAACACATTGAATTTATTATTACTCACTTAAAAATAATAGAATCATGACTATTTGCCGCTTTAAATGAGTGGAGGGGCAGGGTGGAACAAAGCACAATTATAAGAAGTAGTATTCGGACGCCAATCCACCTACACCATCTCATCGACACGGTACGCATTGAGTTAAGTATCTGTTTCAAATGAAACTACAAGATTTATATTAAAAATTAAATCCACACTCATGGCCCTCAAAATTAGTCCAAACCAAGCCTGGCGCACAATTAGTCATCCGACAGATTGGACTGCTGTGGCATCGGTCGCGCGTCAGGCTAGAACATAGCCACGTGAAGTGAAGCCTTACTGTTTCCAAATTGGTAGCAGTGGCCTAGCTCTCCTGATCCACCATGCAGCACACAAGGCCTAAGTAGACGCGTATCTGTGCTGCCCGTCTCGAATGAATACACTTGCAAAAAGGTGAAAGGGGTGGGTAAAAGGCTGCAGCAAAATTGAATATGAGCATAAGAAAAAGGAATACACAAAAGCTACAATGGAAGGGGAACTTAGATTGCTTCAGTAGAGGCCAGTCTACTGGTCCAAACATTTTCAGCATCGTCGATTTTTATGAGACAGTGATCGGCAATGGCAGAACAACCAGGGTAGAGCCGTAGACGGGGATGCGTTAGGTGTGACCTGGGAACGCAGGCGCACCGCATTTTCGCTTTCTCTGGCTCTAGTAGTTGACGTGGATACGACTCCTCCGAGGTGTCGCTGGGACGAAGCAACATAATGGATTAGCTAAGTAGAACAGGCAAACGCGATTCTTTAACTTACTGTCTGTTTGACTCACCTGCTGTAGAAATTACAAGTTAGCCGAAGCATTTTCCCATCGAAAAACGAATTACAAGGGGGAAGGAGTTTGGAAAATTCCAAAATCTCAGGAGGTTGTTTATTCCATGCCTTAAAGAGTTCAATAAGGAGATCCGAGGCGTCTCCCATGGGTGAGCGGTAGACGCTGGGAATGTAGCCCACACAGGGATACTTTCGGGTGTAGAGTTTGAGCCAATCACCCAATTCATAGAGCTGGGCAGACGTGAGACCGTCTAGAGCGTAGGCCTCTGACCCGGGGTCCTTCATGCCCACCGAGACAAGCATTCGAGTCGCGTCACGACCTGTGGTGGGTAAATGGAGAGGGGGACGAAGTAGACGCTCAGTCTCCTGCTATTTATCCATCACTTTGGTAGAATCAAGCTTTGTTCATGTCGCGTATCCTTCTAAGCCTTAGTTCCTTGGTTCGGCTATGATAAACCTACGTCCAGACTGATTTGCCTTAAACCACCTTCAGAATTACCTCAGATAGGCAACAGGAATGAATATTCAACGTAGCCTCCAGAAACTACTTTACCTTACGTTATTCTAAACGGCTTTATTTTAGGGCTACTTTTACAAAAAGCAATTGGAATGTAGAATGTACTAGCACTGAAGCATCGGCTCAGCCTTAGCAGTGCAAAGATAGTGAATTCCCAAAATGGCAGTGGCAGTTAAATTCATAATTTCTTTTGAAAGCCTTCTGGAGGTAATGGGATTACCATAGACTCAACCGCTTAGCAAAGGTCAAAGTGGATGAGGAATTGCGTGGAAGGCTATTTAACAGATTGATCTCAATCTCGGGTGTGTGCTGATAAATTGACTTTTCCAATTTTGCGCAATTCATTATGAGACTAAGCTCATATGCTAATAGTCTTCCAGATCCTCTATAGGCCAATAATGAGGATAATTCCAGATCCGCAAGCCTCATGGGATCTTTGAATAAAACCCGGGCACTACTGCATACCAGTAAGAAGAGCGTAGATTCCATCCGAACCATAGATCTGCTGGTTTGAACTGACGTCAAAGACGTGTCCCAGAATTGCAAGATGCTTGTGCTTCTCTAAGCGTTCAGGAGCAGTGGGGTTTCTAAGACACCGAGGCGGCTTGAACGGACCATCGTTCTTGTCAGTTGACGCGGAGTCGACCGACTTGAGACGGAAGAGGCGAAACAGAGGCGCCAAGAGCAGCGAATTGGCGTCGATAAGAGCATTCATCCCATCGAGAACGAGCAGTCGAACGGCCTTCCATGCGCTGTCAAAGTGGACTTTGTGGTCTGGCCACAACCGTGACACCAGAATAGCCAAAAATAGGACCACTAGGACTCCGAATTTTCCCATTCTATAGACGAATTTAAAGTTCAGGAAAACCAAATAAAACTCAGGTAGAATAACAGTTCTGATACAAATTGCACAACACTTATCGCCTACTACGATGTGCACAAAAAGTACACACCCAAAGCTGTAGCCCTCAACGGGTCCAAGAAAGCTGAGATCGAACAAAACCACCTTTTTACTGAAAACACCCTACTCGTAAGATGGAACTGTTGTAGCTTGGTTACGAAGTCACTCCTTCTAATCTCAGTAAATAGAAAGCAAGATAACTCAAAAGGTATCTAAGGGCACACATAGGAGCATGGCAATTTAATTCTATGATAAGACCCACGCCAGCTTTCCTTTTGGATATGATAGACACACCATAGTTGTATTTTAAGGTAAACGCAAACATGCATTGATATCGAGCGTTGAGCACCAGAAGAAGGGGAGATAGATTTGTGGGTATTTGATTGGAAGGTGACCATAAATTTATTTCCCATGATACATGAAGGCAAAAGCAAAAAGTGATGGTAACAGAAAGCAATATTAGTTTTTGGTGTGTTCGTGACAGAATCGCTGGAAAAGTGTGTAGTCTAGAAAGTACGCGCATGCAAAGTACAAACGCAGTAGGTCGATGGGTGGATGCGAGTTTAAGAAATGGCAGACTCGAGTCTAGTAGGCGTGGTTGGCCACAAACAGTGACTTCTGACCAGCGGCGGTCTTCAGTTCACCCTCGAACTTGCCCAAGCTGGCAGCGCCATTGGCTTTGGCCAATTGCAGGAACTCTGCCTGACCAACTTTTACGTTTTCCGGCTTGCCTTGCCAAGCAGCGATGGCCGAGGCCTGCAGGGCACGACCGAAACTGAATGAGAGGGCCCATGGTTTTTTGCCTGGATACTTGTTGATAGCGTTTAGGTTTCTTGTAGCGTCCAATTCAGACTGGCCACCCGACAAGAAGACAATACCTATAGAGGAAACCCGGATGCATTTAAAAACATCTAAAACTACACACAAGAAAGGTAAGTGACTGACCGGGGACGGCAACAGGCACAGTGCGTTGAAGAGCCTCAACGGTGGCACGGGCGTTATCCTCCACGGAGTATTTCTTTGTGCAGCTTTGGCCGCAGGTTACCATGTTAGGCTTCAGAAGAGTACCCTCCAGGTAAACATGGTGATCAGCAAGAGCCTTATAGACGAAAGAAAGCACCTGCTCAGTCACACGCTGGGCAGTCTCCAGATCGTGGTCGCCATCAGGAAGAACCTCGGGCTCCACAATAGGCACGAGACCGTTCTAGATAATATTAAAACACCAAAGTTGTTGAACGTATTTAAGGTAAACCAGGGTGAGAGGGGAACAAGACACTTACTTGTTGACAAATGGAAGCATAGCGAGCAAGAACGTTGGCATTTTCAAGCATGGCGAGGTAGGACGGATTATGTGAGGAGATCTTGAGGACACAGCGCCACTTAGCAAAGCGACAGCCATCCTTGTAGTACTGGGCACAGCGTTGAGCCAGATTGTCTAAGCCCTGAGTGGTGCACTCATCGGCGGTGCCGCCAAGAGGCACGACGCCAAGATCGACCTTGATGCCGGGAACAACACCACGTTCGCGGAGAAGCTCCACGAATGGCTTACCATCCTTAGTCTTCTGATAGACAGTCTCGTGGAAGAGAATGACACCAGAGATGTGTTTGGCAAACTCAGGATCGGTGGTGAAGAGGAGCTCGCGATAAGCCCGACGGTTCTCCTCAGTGTTCTCCAGGTTGATAGCAGCAAAGCGCTTGCCAATTGTACTCGTGCTCTCATCGGCGGCGAGGAGGCCTTTACCAGGAGCAACAATTGCACTGGCATTTTCTCTCAACTCCTTCATCTTCTCCGCGCACAAGTAGGGAACAAAACGAGCCATTTTTCTACATATTAAAAACAGCTAATTAGGGCCAACAGTCTCCAGAAGCAAAAGTTTGTTCAATCTCCAATGGACGGAAATACAGTAAAGGGAAGCTTAGTAGGAACTAATTGACGTGGCAACTCATTGCTGAGTGAATATATGCATTAAAATACAGATGGGATATCGAGACGAAGCGATAAATCAGAAATAAGTAAACTGTTACTTCTCCCAAATTTCACAAAATAAAAGACAAAGGATGTCCAAGCTGTTTTAGCAAAACCAAATCCTTTGCAGATGCAATAGGTGCATTGGTTGACGATAAAAGCCAAATTAATAAAACAGATTGAATTGGCAGACAGACCACACTATAAAAAGAGCATGGACAAAGTGGGACAAAACAAGCGCACCAAACTACCTAAGTGTAAAGTATGTGACCAAAGTCATATATAAATAGGTCGGTTGTAGATTTAAACAAATCACGACGGCACGAGTGAAATGTAAAAATCCTGTTTAAAATACCAAGGTTTTATTTGACTTAATTAATAGCGGTGTATTCTTATAAAAGACACTCAAAAAATTATTAGGTTTGGCTGGATTAATGACCAAAATATTAGGGCGGGTTCTTATAAAAATATTTTTTCAAATTACCAGATAATGCAGTTTTTGAACAGCCAAAACGGCATTTTTTTAATGCTAGGTTGTTATTCATGTACGCAATTATAGGTTAACAAGTGGCTTTTGCTTTACATTTGAATTCAAATCTTATAAGTTACTATTGGATAATTGATACCTGAGTTAAAAAAAAGATGAGTTTTGTATTTTTTAGGCGTTTGGTAACCAGCCGACCGAATTGTGGGATTTATTTATGTCCCTAGCAAATTTAAGCTAAAGTTCGTTTACGTTCTCGTTTACCGGCAGCAATGAATTTCCCACTAAGTAACCAATCGATTTTGATAAAAACTACTCACTTTAGCAAAACAATTGGAAGGGACTCTGTGGATTTCTGTAATTTTGATTTAGGAATATAGCGATCCCATCGCGCAATGTATATTGGCCCTCATGCCCTCAGAACACCCAGGTTGATTTGGTTGTGTCAAGTTTACTGGGTAAAATAAATGAAGAGAGCTTGTTCAAGTTCAGGGGAAGTTTGAACTCGGAACCTTTCTCCGGATCGCGGGACGATGATCCCTCAGACAGGAGGCTCAATTCGTATCCCGCCTTCTCTTTGAAATAAATATAAAAACAATGTAAGTATTACATTAGAGCATGTTGGTGTTTATGAAGGAATCAAAAAGTTTATGAGGCTATTAAAAACCTGTTCTTAGATTACAGAGCTTTCGGTGACTCAGTTTAGAATTTATTTGAATTTTGCGAGAGTAGTCTCCACAGCTTTTTATCTTATGGGTATGCCCTTTACTCCGTGCTTTTGATGGTTTTATCAAGAAATAATCTGTATTAATCTTCTTTCCTGATCTTCATCTATGGCGCTATCTTACTAGAAGCTACTTTGCCATTATCCCTTCTCATTCCGACTTATATACAAATTACTCGAACCACAGATTTGCAGTGACTTGTTATCTGCAGCTCCTTCAGACTTCCCTCAAGATGAAAAAAGTCACAATACTCGGGTAGAACATATATTGTCAACGTACAGAAGTGACAAGCTACTTGCATGGGTCCGAGTATAAAGGCAGTCTTAGATGTTTACGTAATCGAAATGTAGAGTTAAACACGCATTCAAAGAAGCACATAGCCTGCCTTTCCTTTTAAGCGTTGTCTCCTTCACTTCCCTTGGTCAACATCCGCGTTGGCGATTACAACATAGGCAGTGATCTAAGGAATCCACCCACAAAACAAATGCGCCAGTCATGGAATTTGTATGCAGCTGAGGTATTTTATCACAATGTCAGTGACTCCTCTTGACAAATCTACTGAAGACGAAGGAAGACACAACGCTCGGGCAGAATATGTGTTGTCGAAGTACAGAAGGGATTGGTGCTACTGACATGAACCGGAGGTCAGCCCACTCTGCAAAGGTACAGTGGCCCCCTTACCAAAACCGAGAGTTAACGCATTCCACATTTTGCCTAACTGCGTGTTTAAGCTCGCAGGTAACTAAGCCTTTGCAGGCTGTCCTTCGCGCCCTGTGGCATGCCCTTCGGGCTATGATGGTAGTCCTCCAGCTCTTCTACATGTTATTACATATTCTTTTCCACGCTACCTTCTTCGATGAAGACTCAGAGAGCTACAAATGTGCTTGGAGAACGCCGTTAAGTTTTTAAAATGCTGCATTAAGTACACTGAGAAACACGAATTCATCCGTAAGGTGATTACGAAGACTGCATGCCCTAAATAAAGTCAGGTAATTTTCATGCTCACACAGGTCAGACTTCTAAAAGCAGGAGCCTTTTGCAACTGCATATGAATAGAAGTGGATGCGTGCGCTAATACATGACAAATTTACCTCCTGAACTTAAGACTGTGTATCAGACTGATACATTGAGCAAATTTGTAAATTAACGGACAAATACAAGCGGATTTGTCAGTAAGAAGACATAAGTAGACCTTGCCACATTCTGAGATGGTACCGTTTATAAGACCTGGTGGAGTACCCAGGAGAGTGAAATTCTCAATGATTACAGTCATTAAAAAGTTGAAAGGGCATTTGTGCCTCCGCTTGGCTAGTATATTATCATGAGAAAATGTGCAATAAGCCTACCTTAATCCACAAAGGAGAAAATGGATCCCAAGCGTTATATGCATGACACACAACTGACAATTCTTGCACTATACCCCTGTACGAACCTAACTTATCTTTTTGAAATTACTTGCAAAGTTTGAAATGTGGCATTGATGGATGCACGCATAACAAATGACCTCGTCAAGGTCATATCGAACTTAGAACACGTGGTCAGTTCTTTCACGAGGGCGTCCTCTTTCGCTTAGAGATCGTCTCCTCTGAAAAACTAAGTATAATGTCGTCCTTGCGTTACCATCCGGGTAAGGAGATGATTCGCATTGAGGGCTGCCACATGTTTATGATAAACAGTTGCGGGAAGGTGGGAGCCTTTGAAGGTTATCAGATGCTGGCAATAGTCGTGCCGGAGTGGCTCTCAACCCAGGGTCCTAAGTGCGCCTACCTGAAAATCTGCCAGTGGCTTTACCCCCTGGACCGTTCCTATTCTTCCATCTATTGTTGGAGGGACAGGATGATCATTCTCGAGCCCTTTTCACACATTTTGCATCCCCGCTACATTGTCATTCGCTTGCCGTACCCGCTGACTGAAGATCAAGCGTCAACTCTGTGGAACCTTCTTGACATGAATGCTCAGGTTCTGGGGAAATTCTGCTATACATCCGAAAACATGTTAAATGAATTCCAAAATATGAAGCTGGATTCAATTGATGAGTGTGAACTGCACAACGCTCCCTCGAACGCAAACGCTAGCGATTTAAAAGTGTTAAAGCCTCAAAACAAGGGAAAGAAAAAGAAGAAGAAAAAGGAAGAGAAGGCGATAACAGCTAGAGACATCTGTGAAATCTCGGAGCCGCCGCCACAGCCCGATAACGAAGGTAAGCAGATATACGTGACTGGTCCAAGAGATGAGAGGTACATCAAAGTCATCACCACGCCCGCACCTGTCAGCATCTCCTATCAAGTATTCCTCGCTGTTCATATAGTATACAAGGAATTAGTTAAAAAGAGATCAAAAAAGGAGGAAGAAGGGATACCCTCTCTATTCGGCTTTAGAAAGGCGATGGATTTAAAAGCCTGTAAATTAGCTGAGCTATCTAAGTTACCACAAATCCATCAAGCGAGGAATCTTGCAAGTACAGCGGCGCACTTTGATGGGAGGCTGAATAAAACAAGGTTCATAATGGTGCGACCCGATCCGGACGAGGAGAGGGCGAAAAGACTGAACCCTTGTAAAATAAAGGGCCCGTTGACATCGCAACCAATCACTCCCAGTCGCGGCTGCTGCCTACCGCTATTTGACACACTAATGATACTAACGCCGTATAATTACCCCGATCACGCCTATCCTTCCACAGCGAACTCTAAAAGAGTGTTGGAAGACTGTGAGCACCACTACCCCAAGGAGAGACCCGCCAATCCCAATCCCGATCCCACTGGTTAATTGCGCCTCGCGCCTGCTAACAGGCAGCCCAGTAAAGGAGGTTGAAGGCTGCTCAGTGGCTTAAAAAATACACACTGTGATTTGTTGAGTGTGGTGCGCTTCACACCAAAAGGGAGGTGAAAAGGGCATGTGGGATAAAGTACTCTGAATGTAGGCGGTTTTCGGGTGCAAGTGTCATGCTGATCAAAAGCCAGAAATTCCAGTTAATTGTTCTTATGCCCAAGTGCTTAGGTACTCTCAGGTCCACCAGGTTATTATGAGAAGCTGGACCAAATCGTCTGCCATTCCTTTTAGGTACCAATCATAAGAAAAATGAGTTTTTAAATCAGTAAAGTAGTAATTTACACCTAGCTATGCTTACCAGTGCATAGGTGTTAATTCTGCTGTTCAACATCCCCGAAAGTAGAAGCACGAATTTATAATTTCTTAACTTTTATCTTCCTTTAAACTAAGTCAACAAATCACCACAAAAAAGAGTTTCTTATTTTTTTTGGACTCATGAAAAGCTCACCAGTGATTGCACGTGACTGCTGCCTGAGGCCCTAGAACTGCCTCAAGCTTCGTGGCAAACTTTGCCCCACGCGAGTAGAGCATACTGTTGCACTTAGCAGACAACCATCCAGTGAGAGGGTCAGGACTGATTACGTGTTGCTTCTTTGGAAGTAAATTTCACGTAGTGCTAGAAAAATTTGCACTATACATTCTTAAAAGGTTGTTACTTCATAACTGAATGGAGGGTTAAAAGATATTGCAATTCGAAGTGTAGACAATACATTTTCAGTTTATCGAGCCCTCGCCAGTGTGGTAAAAAGCCATTTAAATGTGGAAGGTAATTCAGTAATGAAATATATAGGAGTTTGGGAGGCTACAGGCATAGCGAGAGATCCAAACCGCCAAGATGAAAGCCCAAATCACAGAGACTAAAGTCAAAAAACAGGTTGCATGTGATCCTCAGGGAAAATCATCCTTTCGATGTGGTTCATGTTCTGTTACAATCAGTAGGTAAGTCGATTACCTCAAGCACCATACTGGCGGTCGCTTCATGTGCCAAAAGACAAGCTTCATATCACCATTTACATATCACCCCGTTTTGAAATGTTAGCATTTTTTCTAACAGCTACTATCAGAGATCTAGAACTGTAAAGTTGCGGCTCAACAACGACATCTCAAATCCCAGGCCCTGCCCTAAAAAGCTGGACTTGTATAGCCCTAATGTATATCGTCTCATGCGGACAGATGCGTTCTCCTCCACTAACCAGACAAGAACAAAGTCCAGTCATGGTCCTATACACACAGATTTTCTCGAGCTTTGTCAATCTCTGGGTGATAAGCACCATAGGTAAAAAGACATACGCAGAACAAGACTGAGCAAAGAACCGTGCCTAATTGAAAGCTTGCGGGTGGAAGCGCGGTGGCCCTTACAAGGCCACCATCGTTAATCTATCGTCCTTGCTTATGGAAAGCTTACAAAATTTTCTGTGAGAATTTCATCATTTGCTATAGTTGGCCTTTCTAAGACAGCTAGTCGGCAATTATAGGGGTTAGGTACGTCAATGATGGATTTTGATTCAAGGATTACGGAACTGAAGCCGTGGATAGCAATACGTCAGAATCGAATTCTCCAGGCGGGAAATTGGGAGATAATCGAAACCGCAAAGTCGTGATCTCAAGTTCGATCATTTGATTATATAGGACATCAACAGAGCCATTCGCTTGCATCAGCATTCAGTAACTACTTGCGAGTTGTGAGAGTTCTCGAGCACCAGAGAACAGATTTGAGTGGCCCCAAGTCCTCCCTGATGCCGTCATACTTTGCACGAAGCCCTGGGAGGCTACAGACCGCCAAGATAGAAGTGTGACCACTACGAGACTGAAATGTTAGCACAGTCTAACAGTTTGCAACAGAATGCTCAGTACACAACCATTGGGTGGAAGTCCGACACCAATTAAGAGGCCAGAAATGTTACTTCGGCAACCGACTTTCAGCCCTATTTTCTAAGGTTACTGTCCTTTGAGAAAACTTCCTTATTCAAAATAATTTATTGAATTATTTAATTGATAAAGCTATGAGTTCATGAGGCTTTAGGTTTTCAAAATAAACGAAATGGAGAAAAAGTATTGCCCGTAATACAAAAAGCATCCAAATTGTGGTCAGTTCGGATCATTATCAGAAAACGCCAAGCTTTTGTAATTTAGTAGTGGGATCAATCACGGCAGCGGCGTTAATGTTTTCACCATCAGTATCGCATATAGGCACCATCATGATTGCCCTCACAAATATGTGGTAGGTGTCAAATGACGACGGAATCTTCCCGTGGTCTGGTTAAGCTCAAGCAAGTGAAACAAATGGAGGATTTTCCAAGTCGCCCTAGGATAAATACACCTTCCAGAGCCTGAGCGGTAGTTTAATTAGTCAGTTCGCCAGTGCGTGTTGGCGTCATATTAGGAAGGAATTTTTAGACTGCCCCTTCCGCTTCGCCTGAGAGAGGTTGGCAGCAAACACGTTACAACCACCCGGAAGTAAAGGTATTGGGGTTGTATTTTTGAGATGAGCTCTCAAGAGCTTATATGCCACCCCGTGAATCACATTTATTTAACTCACGATATAAAATTGGATCTACAAATCCTTGATCTCAAAAGGGAACACCGAAATCGCAGTCACTATCCTAGCAAGCTCGCCACCAACGCCTCAGAGAGGACTGACCATCACACCTCAAATACCCTGATGTTTTAATTCGGCAACAATAATTATCCCTTCCATGAATATTTCAAATACCGTTGAAATTGCAGCGAAATACGTTCCTCCTCGAGCTGAGGACATCCTACACTCATCCAGCTTTAAAATCAAACAATCAATTTGCGGTGTGATTTGGTACAATTTGTAGTGAGTGCGTTAAGAGGTAGATTGGTGTAGCCGCGAATGCTGGAGGGACTCCACAATGCCAAAGCTGGATCGAACATAACTACTACCATCCATCATAGTGAGTAGAGAAACTGCAGCTGGTACACGCTGGTCGGGTGTATATAATTGAATCTCCTCCACGCATCAAAGGGTGAGTAAGGAGACAGACCAAAATACATAATGGGCAGTCAAAAAGTCATCGTGACCAAAATACGAGTGAAATACGCGCGCATGGTCAGTGCAAACCATTGTCGTCAATATGAGACCAATCAATTGACCCGAAGATTGGGTGGCGCTTCACAGTTGAGTCTGAAAGCCGCTCGTTTGGATTCAGCTTCAACAGCTACAAGAAAGAATAAAGTGGGGAAAATAATATAAGCTCATGAGACCTTTACACATTTTGACAAGAGCTGAAATGACCCAAGGTGCAGAAAGTGGAACAGTCAAAACAAGGGCGAAAAACATAGGAAGAGTAGGACCAATTCCAACCAAAGCTCCTGAAATTTAAGACCAGCATTTCATGTGATAAAGCAAGAGAATGTCTAAATAACTTTTTCAAAAAATATTAATTTAACTTCCCCATAATTCTATCCACCAGCAATGGCGGCAGCAGGTAGCCATGAGAATCTATTAGCAAATTTTGCTGAACTAGAGAACAGTCAGATCCCGTACTTCGGTCATGCGTTGTACCCTTTTAGGGTCCGCAAAAAACATGTATTCATATGGATTGCGTTTATGATCAAGACATCTAGTTATAGTATGAGTCCAGGCTACTAAGTCCACTTCCGATGTGGCAAAATCACATCACCTGTCCATCTTCTTTGCCTTGCTGAGTTTCGAGTACTTTAGGTGCAATTAGAACAGCGACTGCGCCATCTTCAGCTCATCCCAGATCCTCAATATAGTTGGAATTTATCGACAGATCATCAGCGCCAAACCATTCAGACGCAAATATGCTTTGAGCTGTCAAACTACTGCGCCGATTTAAATATGGAAATCCCGTCCAAAATGACAGTGACTTTCAACATATCCATGCTTGTACTAGAAAACTAGAACTTTTGCTTGCAATGGTAAACAAGGCACTGTCCAGGGTGGTAAATCAGAAACAGGGTATTTTCTATTAACTGATCTGCGAATCACATTTTGAAAGAAAATAGGATTTAACTTGCAGAAAAGGAATTATGCTACCTTAGCGTATGTTATGTTCTGTCCGAATGTGTTAAGGGCCGTAATACGCGAATAAAGAGCTGCCAAAAAATTGGGACAAACAATTTAAAAAAGGCTCAACCAACCGACCCTTACAAAGGTTAGGAAGTCAACGACCTCTAAAGACAGTGTTGGTGGAAGCTTCAGAGGTGTGGAAGCCATGATACCCCTGGGATGAGTTTCATGGAGTCGAAGGCCAGTGAAAACCTCGTATAGAATCACCCCAACAGACCACCAATCGCAGACTGCCCTTTTCTCCCACGTACTTCCGCAGAGAAAGGAGGATGCCAAACGTCCGACCAGCAACTCCGGAGCACAAACGTAGACACCGCCTTGCTCTTTGTTTAACTGACTCACCCAACCGGCATTCGTTGTGTCCCATCGAAAGAAGTAGTCTATTTCTATATGTCCGCTTTGTGTGAGATAGACACGCGATCGATCTAAATGGCTAGGTGAATGCAAATAAGGTGCTTGTCGGCTTTATTGAAAGTAGCAATACCTCAGGACGATTTGACGTGCGTGGAGCCATGACACAACAGAAACCAATTCAGCGGCCCAGAGGATGGACCTGCGCTCAGGCAGGAGAGGTATTTCATGGCAATTCGAGCGGTGGTTATAAATATCCTCGTCTGAAGAAAGCCATGGTTCTAAAAAGCCGAATAAAATATGGATTCCTTGATCACAAGTATTTAGTTAGGGTCAGGTTAACATTTCAGACTTGTTGCTATTTTCGTTAGCTTGACGGCGTAAATTTTAGCTTGCGAATATTTTTCTGAGTACGCTTTTTATGAATTTTTCTTAAACAATCAGATAAAGGTGAAGGAACAGAGCAAATGACTTGAAGCACTGGTGAGTAGAGTGCCTGGTTGACAAAGACTACTTTGCCAAAGTTGAGGAGATGTTTTGGAAAGCAAAATCATTGAATTAAGCCACCCAGAAGCAGTGGATCAAAACCAGAGTGGTTGACAATGTGATGAATGTCGCGTTGGCGAAGGCAATATATCTCAAACTACTAGTTTTGGAAGCGAATCAGCAAAGGCAGACAGAGGGATCGAGCCGTACAATAAATAATATGCTTGAACCCCCTTTCGTACAGAATAAGTTCAAACTTCTTCTGAAATAGGAAACATTACGATGACTAGAAAAGGCAACAGCATTGAAGTACCTCGCAAAAAAGGAAGACGGTCATTCACGGAATGACTTCGACGGGGTGGAGGCAACGGCCATGGTGGGTATCTGTTCAAAATAACCGCAGGAGTGAGGAGTGGGGATAAAGGGCCACTGAGATCCGGAGAAATATGCTCCTTGGCAGAGGGTGGGAGAAAGTCAGCAAAAGGAGAGTTTGAACAGAAATCTCCCTGCAAAGGGGCAGTGGACGACAAATCGGAACAACTAAAAATGTCCAGAGTGGAAAACAATACCGAAAAAGGTTTAGGCAAATGAGCGGTAAATACTCAACCTAATAGAGGAATGAGGTAGAGCAAAGCAAAATAAGCAATAGGCAAAAAAGCATTATGAGTCAAACATGAAACGAAGCGCTTCAAATCTAAGCTTGAAAATACCTGAGAAATATTATTCAAATTCGAAGGAAGCCTAACAAAAAGAGTGATCAAAAATAAAATAAAGGAATAAAAACCCAAGAATTACGTAGTTTTACTTAATGAACAAGTGAGTTCAATCCTAAACACAGAGCTAAATATTTTAAACGGAGGTATTTTAATAGAACTTTCTTCCCACTACTTTACCAGCCCTGACTGTTTGTAAAGAGTAAGATATTTCTGCGCACTTTCAGGTGCAACTGTCGAGCCTCTAGCAAGGAAGCAACCACGTCTGCAGCGCGCAAAGCATGGTTTTCTCGGATTGAAGTGATGATGGACTCAAATATGTGGGGTGGACAGTAGATAGCTTAGGGATAAGCAAATAATACTTTCATCCGATTAAAGCTGCAGCACAAATACCTTTCCTTATCACAACTTAGTCTGTTAGTAAATCATTTCATAGTAGCGCCTCCGTATAATGTAGGGGAAATAAGGAACAAACTGGTAGTCTATGAACTCTATCGCCTTCTGTCCATGTGCCACAAGCAGGATGCTTTTGCCTAGCTTCCATTGGAGCTTTCCATTATCAGTTGAAGCAAGGGTAAACTTTACTGGCACTTGCTTTTGACACTATCTGCAATTATTTTAATCAAGTCAAATAATCACTATAATTAAGAATAGAGGGTCTTTCCGAAATCGACGCCTCAGCATTTTCGCGTGATTCATCACCAGAATCAAAATACAGATTTGAACCATTTAGTTCAGAACGGAGCGTTTTGCTACCACACTCAGCACCTTCTCTAGATGCCCCAAAGCAAAGTTGATGAAAAACCATTTCCTGAAGCTCTGAAGCTGAATTCACTTCGCTTCGTAAAGACGCCAAGCTTAGATCACTTCACTTTGGTTCAACCCACATATCATGGCATGAAAGCTCATAATAGCACGAAAGTGGAAATACTAATCCAAACATATGTAATAGAAACAACTGTATACATCTTCAATGTGCCCTCAAGGTACATCAAGTTATCACATCGAGCTACAATGAAAAAGTGGCAAACTTTTTCTTCATCTGATGCAAAAAGCTCCCGTTTTATAGAGAAACAGATAGAAGGCGCTTACCTACTACAATTTTGAATGATAGCACCGGTGAATCCCTTTGGAACATCGCAGCTGTCGACTTAAAAGGGAATGAAAGAAAATAAGTTATGGCTGAGATGGTAAACACGAACTTGAGGCTGCAAACTCTATCAGCATGCAGATAAGGAAATGTAAACATTTGTAGAAATAGACAATTTTTCGGTTTGGAAAAATCAAGCTTTGGTGCGAATCGTTTGGTGGGGTTACTACAAATGACAAGGTGAAAACTACGTGAGAGTATACTGTTACTAATTGACGATAATCAAACTTTTCCACTAATACCTACAAAATGTACAAATGGGTTTACTCATTGAACCATTCCCAATACACACTATGAGCTAAGATAATGTGATGATGCTGTTCCTACTAAGTCTACATCTACTCCAACAGTAAAATATTGGAAGGAGATTAATGTGAATTCGAAGCAATGTAGCGCCTTTGCGAAGTCCACTGATCTAAGCAAAAGATCATAGATACTAAAGCCTTCAAATTTCTTTGGGGGTAAGATAATTGACACTTAGTTTCAGAATAATCTAATCCCACATAAGTTTACTGTGATGAAGGCAAAATTTAAACAGAAACAGTCCTTGGGAGTGTGGAGGATTACTTCACATACCACTCTTTCCCTCTTCCCTTCTCTCCCCCTTCTTTTTTAGACACCGATCAACCACTTCCCGAATCCGCACCGACCGCTTCTTGCACCAGACGAGGTGTTTTAAAGCCGCAGTCGTGTCCCCACGTCCACACTGCTTGCTGTCACCGGACTCCGTGGAGAGGAGGGCCGAAATGCGACGTTGGAGGTAGGCCGCAAGCCAGTCTACCAATCGCAGCTCGCCCCTCGTTCTCTCCACTAATAAAAAGAGACGACTGTGGTCAGCAGTCTCTACCAAGCGATGCAGACGACTCATAAAGGCGATGCGGCCCACAGGGAGAATGCGTTCGGCTCGAGGCGACGTTTTCAAGCCCGCAGAGGTGATCGTTGACATGCTGGAGGCTAGATTTTGGATCTTTGAAGAAAGACTGCGCGACTGAAAATTGACAACAGAAGAATTCGCTTATGAAATTTAACTTCCGTCTACATTCATTCTACTACCACTGCTAATTTCAAAGATCAGAGTAATCAAAGCTAGACTGAAAGACACCGATAGAAAACTGTCAAGCAGAGAAAATAGACATCTAAGGCGTGGTCTCTGATGGTTAAAAGATGACAAAGGAGGGAAATAGCCGATGTTTATGCTTAAATTGAAAAAAACTCGATGTATTGAGAGTAAATCTAAAATTTATCGGAAGAAGTTTTCATTTGTAACCAGAGAGAACTACCTAAGCGCTTAACAGAAAATTAGTCAATCATTAATAGAGGCCAGGTACAATGAATGGACTACAATCATTCTCCGGTGATAGTAATGTAATTAAAAAGCAGTGGGTGAAAAAAAAATGTGGATTTAGGGGTTTTAAGGTACTTTGAAGGATTTCTAAGGTTATGAGGTCTTGCAACGAATATATTTCAACAGCGGAGACAAATCACAGGCCCAATAAGGCATTACTGCAGTGCTCACGCTTAACCAGTGCAGATGATATTACACCTTGAACGTAACTTTGCGAGATAGTTCCATGGCAGCATACTTACAAAAAAAGGACTTAAAGCACAAATATGAGGACAGAGGACCTTTGCCAACCAATAAAAAAAGCTAACTAGCGTACAAACGCGCTGATGAAAAAAAATACAAAATATTAAACATTTCATTGAAAAAATAAGCCAATCTATTAATATTCCCCATAGGTCAAATGAAGTGCGAGAAAATAGTTGCAATAAGTCTAACACATCAGGACAAGCAATAGGCCAAATTTGAGACAATTCATTGAGGAAACAAAGCACTTGAAAGCAGCCTAGGAACCCACTTTTAGTGTATACTTCACCGAGCTGTCCAAGCGGTTATAAACGACAAGATCCTCTCCCTCAATCCGACAGACTCTTAGTTCAGTGAGCTCCTCCGCGGAGCCAAATAAGTTTAACAAGGCAGCATCCCGGCACAGTGATGCAAGCTTTGGTGACTCCTAGAAAACCTAGAGGAAAACTCGACAAGCCTACCAACCAGGCGGGACGATTATGCTCTTCCCCCTTCCTTTTCTTGCAAAGACTTGTGTGTAAAATATGCTCCCTGTGAATAAACTCGGCCTTCGATAGGCACGCAGAAAGCAAGCAGCGATATTCATCTTTCCTATCGAAGTCTGATTTCAGTTCTTTTAAGAGATTAGAAGCAGCTACTTTGTAGCACCGAAATGCATCTTTCCAGTAACCCTCACGAGAAAACCTCTTTGCCGCTTGAATGTCAGCGAGAATTTTGGGATTTACTGAACTGATGGACTCCCAAACTAAGGGTAAGAAGTCCCCTTCCAATTCACTGTCTGTACTGCTCGATAGGGGGGATTCAGGGTGGCACAAAACCTCAAAGTGCTTTGGCGTAAGTAATGTATTAGCGTCAATTTCAGATGGAGCAGACGGTGGTGCTTGAATTGGCGGCACGACCGTTGTTGGTGTGCTGAGTGAAGAGGGAGGAGTCGGACAACTAGAAAAGCGGTTTTTATCGATGCTGTTGTGCGATGGAAGGCGGTTCGGAAAACCACCAGTTACGAAACGAGTAAAATATGTGTGGCAGTATAAATATTCGTTGGAAGCGATAAATTTAACAAAATCGTCGAGGGCTCTAAGCCGAGCCTCAATCACAGAGGACTGGAAACGATCTGAATAAATCAGGAAAAAATTAAAAACCTACTAAAATACGTCTTCTTTGATAAGTCGGGGAAAGGTGTGCTGCAGTTCAAAGCTTCATAAACTTTGGAGAGCTGCCGATGTAGTCTGAGAAAGTCACTGAAGCGTTTATACAGCTAAAGAAAGAAATGTGAGGATGACAAGCCATTACTATTTTTTCTTCCTTATCACAGCCCCAAAAGCGTTGAATAACAACTCTGTAGATGGTATAATTACCACCGGGATGCAAGCACGACTGATCGACACAGATATCAAGTTCTCTTTGCTTTGCCATCGGGTTAACATCGTAAGAAGGGCAAGTGAAACTGAGGTTCCGGGTAAGTGAAATTCAAAACCTTAATTCGATAACCATTTTACAAATGATGGCTACTCTCTTGGGAGGAACGGGAGGATACTTAGAACATCATTGATCGAAACCACGTCTGTCAACGCTGCCGCCAAATGTAACAACGACATGAAAACAGGCAGCCTTTTGTTCGTATTTATTAAATACAATGGGAATGGAAAGCGGAAATTGTATACGAAACACACAACGCTCAAACCAGGTCAATGCCACACCTTGCACTTCGCGCGCTTACAATGACCCTGTTCCTGTAGAATAAGCAGAAATATTTCGATGGTTGTAAGTTCTGTGGTTATAATCAGCTAAGCACAAATCGAACCCAAAACAGCATTTTGGATGAAAAACGTGCTAGTTTCTTGCATGTGACAACCTATTATTAAAGACCATGAAACAAAGGTGAACCTGGATAAAGGCGCCTTAATAAAATCGGTGTACAAGGCTGGCACAAAACGCATTTGTAACGTGTTTAGTTTTTTGGAACTATTAATTCTCCGATTGGACCAGATGGCGTGACTCATTCAATAGAATACTTAAGAGTTTTAATGAGATTAGGACTTTGTGTCTTTTACCATCTATGGTTGTGGCGAGGTGCCCTGCTGCACTCGCTATTTCTCCTAATTATAATGGGGAGTAAAAGGCTATCTAAGCTCCCGAATAATTTTCGAAATAATGTGCTCAGTAAGAAGATCAAGCTTATCTATCCTTTTTAGCGGCTGGCGTGTCCTTTGGATTTAATGCGTTCTTCATATTGCCTCTATGGTTAGATATACATTTGGATAAGTGGTTGCCTTCGTTTCCATCCATTTACTGAATGCGTGTAATATATTTTTTTTAGCTGCTTGATAGACTAGCGATCACTACGATTTCCTTGATTTTACTGTTTTATAGTTCCGTCATATTGCTGATGACAATTCAGATATAGATTCCCAAATAATTTTTTTGTCAATATTTGCCACAGAAACGTAAGAACGCTTAGCTATTTTAGGTAATATGAACAGTCTAAAACGGGCTGTTGGTCTCACAACTCGCTCTCCTCTTTACGTCATCCGCTTGTTTGCGAGTACTCACTTTGGTTATCAGACGGTGGACGAGACAGAAAAGCAGGCGAAGGTTGACCAAGTGTTCACTGGTGTAGCGCAAAAATATGACATAATGAACGACGCCATGAGTGCGGGCATTCACCGCATTTGGAAGAACTTCTTCGTCTACCGTATGATGCCCACCGCTAACCTCTCTTTCCTCGACGTCTGTGGGGGCACTGGTGACATCGCTATACGCATCGCAAAGTTTTCAAAAAATGTTGAAAACCCTTCGGGTCCCACCACGCCTAAAATTACCGTTTGTGATATTAACCGACAGATGATGGAAGTGGGCAAAGAGAAGGCCAGTCAAGCTGGCATGACTGGAAGTAATACCGACGTTTTCATCGTTTTACGGCTCTTTAGTCAATTGGATTCAAGGAAATGCCGAAAACTTACCTTTCGAGGACAACCGATTCGATGTCTACACTATAGCCTTTGGGATAAGAAACTGTACCCATGTGGATAGGGTTAGTGTCGGTACCAACGGTGCTAATTTGGTAGGTGCTGGATGAGGCCTATCGTGTCCTCAAACCTGGTGGGAGATTCTTCTGCCTGGAGTTTAGCCGAGTCAACAATTTTATACTCCGGACGTAAGTTCACTTCGAGATGTTAATGCAATGCTTATCCGTTCTGTTTACCTTTCAGTCGTTAAAACACTTTCTGATTAGTTGAAGTAAGTGGAATTGTTTCCCCTCAGAATTTACGACGCATACTCAATGCAACTAATCCCAGTGATAGGCAAAGTGGTGGCCAATGACTGGCATTCTTATCGTTACTTGGTGGAGAGCATTCGAAGGTTCCCCCACCAATATGAGTACGCCGGAATGATTGAAGATGCAGGTTTCCGGAGTGTACAATTCACCAATTACACATTCGGCGTCGCCGCAGTACATATGGGTGTAAAGTAAACACTTGACACGAATACTAGCTCTTATTATTCTCGATCTGACTTTTGGTAAACATATTATACATAGGTTCGTACGCCTTCTCGTTGTCGCTTCCTTCCAATCCGATGTGTGGTAATATAGCTTTAAGGCTATTTTGAAATCGCTGGGGTTATCTGACACTAGCGAGAATGCGCGATGGTGCAGAAATATGGAGCGTGCACAATGTACGTGAGCTTGTTCTGTCCAAAGGTCCATTTCTCAATCCACGAGAATGAAGATGAATACAACGCGAGGTGAAGCTACGGTGCAGTTGCAATCTGTAAGAACAAGGGGAGACCCCGACGATCAAGTTAGAGGCGTAGTGATGGTCGCTGATTTTGGCCAATTTTGCCTTACGATCTCTCAGCTCTACCATCAGTCGAAGTGTTAATAAGCCTGACATGTTTGCGGTGAACTGGAACACCTTGGCCTCATTTGCAATATAGGGTCATGGTTTGCGGTTATAAAGTGTACCAATGTCCTAGAAAGCGAGGTGACATGATAAAGCTTATTGAATTAAACGCTCAGCGACAGAGTGCTGATCAATTACAGATTTTATCATGGCCTTAGTTATAAGCCAAATAACTTGGTTTAAAAGGCATGGCATATAGCATAGTGATCGTCGGCAATCTAACTACACCTCTCATCTCATCACAGATAACCTATCGGCCTATGAACAGGTGAGCGATAGGGAAAGTAAAAATATGCTGTAGATGCCACACATAATCCTGATAAGGTATGTTTGAGTGCACCTTTTAGGTGAAGAGCATTTAGTGAAAGCTAATCTCGTGACGGAAGGTGTTTGGAATTCCCGAAGCGGAAGACCATTCCCGCTGTTCTCTGCTCTAATTACAACTGATACAAACGTCCCTACCCAATTAGAATGCTTTATTTTAAGGGAATGAAGGTCAGGGAGGAAGATATAAACACCGAATCTTTTATATTTGTAAGGGCACTTTTTGTTAGTAATACTTAGGGTTGGGGGGAGAGGTTTTCAAAGGGTGATTCAAACCACTAATTTTAACCTTTGGCGCCACCTTCAACGCCAGAGAACACTTGAGTGCTATAGACACAGGTATTTCCCCTAATACCGAGTTGAAACAACACTGCGGTACCTTACCTCGACTCATCGTTGACTACGAAGAGCAGACACTCACCAGATACTTCTTTTATCCCTACCAAAGGGTGGGCAAAAATGACGACGTGTACGCGAAGAACATCCAATTTTTAGCAGAACGAGTCTTTAGTGGCTCACCCTCAGACAGGATCGGTGGATGGATAATCCTTCAACTTGGATATAGAGTTTGACTACCTATTATGGTCAAGAAGCTCCGCGGTACGATTGCCAACTCCCTTAGCCAGCTGGTTAAGCCCACAAACAATATCAGGAGCTGCTTACGGTCCCACGCTACAGCATCCACAACACGCGTCCGATCCCAACAAGATTAGGACCGCTTCACCAACGATAAGAAGGAGAGGAGATGGTAGTGGAAGAAAAGACATCGTTAAAGGTCAGTAGAGGCAAAGAAACATTTACAGTGAGATTTATTGTATGCCCAAAACTGGCTTTAAACGTGGTTTTTGGTGCTCATGTTCTAAAAAACACTCAAGCCGCCCTGAACTTTGCGGAATGTACCTTTACTTACCAAGATACTGAAGCCAATATAGTTCTTTCGCTGCCGAAGGCAGACGTCGATGACATTTGCAGCGCCCCATTCAAGGCCATAGCTATACCCATGAGCAACTTAGACGAATTCTTCGCGCCGCTGGCTCATTTCATCGGCAACAAGAGAAAAGAACTTTGCGAGCTACTGGTTAAGTACGCGAATATATTCTCATGACAAGGCGTTAAAATGGGACGAACAAGTATGGAAAAGCATACGACAGATATCGGCTAAGCTGGACCCATCTGACAACCACTCAGACGCACACAACCTCCTTTGCTAGAAATAAACTATCTGGTCAAGGAGATTATCAGAGACGAGGTCGTAAAGTCAAAGTCACCAAGGGCTTCTCCGATTGCGTTGGTAAAGAAGAACGATGGTGGCTTACGACTGTCCGCCGACTATAGGAAGTTGAACACAGTAACGAAGAAAGACGCCTTCCCTACATGAATCAAACTGACTCTCCGCATTAGGTCTAAAATCAGAATACTTACAAGTGGGAGTGACGGGAACAGACTGAGGGAAGATAGATTTCATATTGCCAAACAGACTTAGGAATCCCAGATAATGCGCTTCGGCCTCAACGCATCGGCCAGCTTCCAACGCCTGATGTATACCACATTGATCGGCTTTTTTTCGCGACTGGATACACTTCAAGTTCCATTAGCCGTAGAGCAAAAATGCATTATGAGTGATGAAAGTTTTCTCATCAACAAATTACCTCATTCGCCATGTACAACTCCGGCCTCAACCAGTCAGCGTTCACCAGGACGGAATGCGTCAGTATAAGGGTACACGACGTGTCGGATACGATGATGAAGTTTGCATACTAACGAAAGATAAAAAATCGCCGCCAATGGCGTATACAGAGATCACACGTAAGGGGAGCATCGGAGACGTGGCTCAGAGGGGAGCGGGCAATGTAATACATGTTTGTTTGAATGCACCTTTTAGGTGATAAGCGTTCTGTGTACACAAGTCTCGTGGTGGAAGGATCATTATCAATTCCCCGCGCATAAGAGCGTTCCAAATGCGCATACCCCCGATCTCTTCCCAGCTCTAAGCGAAACAAGCAGAACTGCCCTTACCTGGCTATTCTTTGCTCCATTGGATCGTAGATCAAGGGACGAGAATTAAGCAACGGAACATCCGCGAAAAAGGCAATGGTCAAAAAGCTATAAATCAACTTTGGGCCTAGAATTAGGTAGCCAACCGAAGCTACTAGATGTTAGGTAAATTCTGGTCTATCAAAGAACAATAAAACTATTAAACAATAAAGAACATCTTAAGATTGCAATAGGCAGACCGTACAGTCTCTTTCATGTTGTTTAATCCAAATTTTTTATAGTTGTTAATTATTTTATTTAAACTGAGCAACTGAAGCCAATGGTGGAAATTGATTGGACAGCAGTTTCGCGCTATGAGTGCTCACAGGTATCACGCTGTTCCTTGTGACCCAGGTTCTGGTAGCCCTGGCAGTGATCCGCTGGACTTTTTAAACTTCTCGTGCAAGGTGTTGGAGTGTGTTTTGGGTTCGGTTCATTGCATGAATGAGGGTAGTCTCAAACACACCTATAGGCAAGTCAATCGTTCAGTTATATCGATAGTATAGGCCTCGGTTATTTGCATTCTTAACATTATTTCAACCTCTACCGCTTACTCTACGGCTTAGAAAATTGAGTCGCATACTTCTTGTTGCTATTATAGGGTTTTTCTCAGTCTAAAAGATGGGGATAAGTTGCCATATCGGCCAGGGGATAGTGTCACTGTTTTCGCGGAAAATAACGAAGCCGACGTCTCCTGGTTGCTTCAACGGATGGGTGGAAACTTATCGCCTGATCAGTTTGTAGTCCTCAAACAAGACCCGATTCTACGCAACTCCATTCCTCGTGGTCCTCCTGTCGGCGTACCAATCACTCCGAGACTTCTTGTACGTCACCATTTGGAACTTCACTCCCTTGCGTCAAGAAAGACGATTCAGCTGTTGGCTAATAGCTGTAATGATGAAGAAGAGAGGCGAATTCTTTTAAAAATGAGTGGGCGTGAAGGCATGCAACTTTATAACGAGTAATCTCGGTTTAAGAAATTAGAGAAAATAGTTCTTGAACAGCTCACCATTGATTCACTTTTACACCTTTTAGATTGATAAAAAAAGTATCAGCAACGGCAATGGACATCCTCGCAACCTTTGGTAGTTGCCGTCCAAGTTTGGAAACTCTCCTCGATGTCTTTCCTCCTCTCGCTGCTCGACCATATTCCCTAATTGATGAGTACCGTGAAAAATCTCCACAGGATCTAAGTTTTGCCTTCACAATGATAGATTTTTCGAAAGACTCAAGGAATAATGATGTAACTTGCAAGGGAGTCACTTTGAAACGCTATTGTCGTCAAACTGGTGTTGCCACCGGATATATTCATCGACTGTGGGAGGAAAAAATTAAAAATGGAGCTAGTCCTCACATGCATATATCTCTTCATCCAAACCTGAACAATTTCTACCATCCTCCTAACGCCGCCGATCCTCTAATCCTGATCTGTGCTGGTACTGGCATCGCGCCATTCATCAGCTTCTTGAAGTACCGACGTCGATTAAAACAATCACAGCCTTCGGAGATTGGCTCTACATGGCTTATTTTCGGCTGCCGCGATCCGAACTTCGATCTGCTCTTTGCGGAAGAATTGGATGGCTTTCTGAAGGACGCGACTTTGACGCAACTCTGCCTCGTTTTTTCGCGCTTTTCAGGACCTCTACCCCCACATCTCCACAAGGCGATCAGATCTAAGGCACTTGTTCCTCCTGGATGCAAATACGTTCAGGATTGCATCTGTTCTTCAACTGTCTCGGCTAACAGCGACGCCTCCGCGGTAGAACTTCCTGGTCTACTTGAGAACTTTCACATTTCCTCTTTATCAGACATAGGGATTTCCTCGAGGCTGGCCCAACTGGTGTGCGAACAGGGAGGTCATGTTCGTGTAAGTTCGCCGCTGTTATGAAAACTGCTGCCACTGGAACCAACCACTTCACTTGCTGGTTTAGCGTTGAAGCAGTCGAAAAATGAAATATTAGAAGCATCAAGCCTATGGTCTAGCACGCTCCCTTAAAGCGACTACATCGTAATCGGACGAGTTGCCCGCTTGCCTAGGCGCACACACAGTGGGAAACGAAATTAGGTACCAGACTGATTTGACGAAGTATGACAGGCAGATTTAATTATTGCCCTACATCAAAACCCAAAGATTTACACGAATAGTAGATTTCGATGCGGAATATCTAATTTTACATAGCGAAAATGCCGGGAGTTTAGTAGCAGTAATTTATTCCTACTTATCAGTCCCTAACAACTTCTGTTTTCTATTATTTTCATTGTCTGGTGTTTTTTTCTTATTGCTCTTTGCCTACCTAGCTCATTCTTAAAGTTGGGTACGTGCGAATTTCAAGCATGAGAAATTTTTAAGTTCTCCTTTTAAGAACCGTGCCTCTCACTTTTAGCAACCATTCTGTCTATTCGGGTTGGCATTTACCTGGGGAAAATTCAAGTGGCCAGACACATTATACACCTGACATGACTTTCATATTCCACTATTGTGCTTAATTATGATTGAGTTGCTTTTCTAGCTTGGATCGCGGTGGAAAGCTGCAATCCTTTCCTAACGCTCCAACCTTAAGGTATAGCGAACCTTTTTAAGTGCTGAAAGATCATTTCTGGCGGTGGTCGGTCAATGAACAATAGTGGGTTAACTTCGTAATTTACCCTAAATGGAGCTAAATGCTTTATTTTTTGTCCGAAGATTCTTTTATCCCCGCATCCTCTTCATAGCTTGACTTTCCTATATCCGTGCGGCCGGAATCCTGTGGCGGACGTCTCCATTAGCCGACGCGTGTGTTTATGTATGCACTTACAACGTATTTGTACGAGTCTGGCGATTGGCTAGTGGAGAATGCCGGACTCTGGGGTTGCGTGCCCGCGTCTGAGTCTGGATCGCTTGGCCGGCTTAGCTGCGCATATCTGTGGTAACTGACCTTGGAACTAGGGTAAATTAGTGTACTTAAACCGTAGATAACACGATTTCAGCCATAAGAGCGCGATTTCTAGAACCTTCGAAAATTAGCCCCAAAGTGGAAACTCGAAGTTGAACACGAACACCCTTCTGAGATTATGGGCATCTTTAACGTGTCTCATTACAGAAATTACCCATTGTAACCAACCAATCCATCTTGTGGTTTGGCGTTGAAACAATGGGAAAATAATGGACCAAAGGCGTTGACCCTATTGGTCTAACACTAATTTGGATGGACTTTGATGTGTTTTGCAACTTCGTCCCTTGACCAAAAGGTTTCTAAACTTCCTTTCAAAACAACAATC